AAAGTTGTTGTTGTGTTGTTGTGTGATGTAGTTGTGTAGTGTTGTTGTTGTTGTTGTTGTTGTTGTTGTTGTCTGTGTGTCCACTGCTGTGTATGATGGTATCACCAATGCGTTAGCATTGATGTCGTGTATGCTTGGTCACGACTCTCGTGCGTGTACACTGCTGCTGTTGCCTGTGGTTGCAGGTCATCACGCTGCTCATGTGTCTAAAGCTGCGGTACCCCAAGCGTGTGTTTCTCGCTCGAGGTGAGCATGCGCACGTGCAAAGAGAGCTCGCAACGCCGCCCGCTGTGTGTGCCGCTGCTCAGCGTCACGTTGCTGTCTTCGTGGCCATCTTGGCATGTTTCTATCCGCCCACCCATGCCGTCACCGCTCTTCTTACACATGTGCATGTGTGTGCATGCAGACAATCACGAGGACTCGTGGGTGAACAAGTTCTTTGGGTTCAGGGACGAGTGTTTGCAGCGGCTGCCTGATGGCGTCATTGTGTGGCAGATGATCAACAAGGTTTGAAGCCATGGAATGACTCTTGTGTGTGTTCGTGTACGTGTGTGTGCATGCGTGTGCATGTGCGTGTGCATGTGCGTGTGCCGCTTGTGCGTAAGAGTTGCATTGTCATCGTCCTCTGCTCACAACTTGATGAACCCTGACGATGATTGCTTGCATGCGTGCATGTTGGCAGTTGTTTGAGTACCTGCCGCTTGGCACAGTTGTGGACGACTCCATCCTGTGCATTCACGGTGGCATTGGAAGGGTGCGCTCACACCACACTTGCGTGCCTGTGTGTTGTTGCAAGCGAGGGTGCGGTGTTTACCGCGTCTCGATGATCAGTGCTCGTGTACTCTCGCCCAGCATGACCTGAATGCATACACACGCACCCCCATATCCACACGCGCCCCATACCCACACGCACACCCGCAGGATTTTCGGTCTTTGGAGGACCTGCGCCGGATCAAGCGTCCATTCCGCCCATCTGAGGGCGATGACACACACGAAATCCGCGTTGCGCGAGACGCACTCTGGTCCGACCCAACCGAGAGCGACGAGCACCTAGGTGTGGGTTTGTTTGCGTGTGTATGTGTGTGTGTGTGCATGGAGGTTTGTTTGCGCATTCTTGCATGCAAGTACGGTGCGTGTCCTCGCAGTCTTGGAGCCGTTTTGTTATCTCTCATCCCTGACACACGCACACACACACACACGTGTGACATTTGGTGTCATTGCAGGGCTGCACGCAAGCGCGACACGCGGTGCCACCATTGTGCAGCTTGGTCCAGACATGGTTCGCACCTTCCTTCGCGAAAACAGTCAGTTGCGGGGAGGGGGGGGGAGTATGGCGAGATGGCACACATCACTTGGCCGGTTTCATTCTTTCATCTGCCATGTTTTAAATTCATATGCGCCCCACTCCCTGTCTGCTGCAGCCATGGTTGCATGTGCGTAGCGTCGCTCGTGCTTTCTGTCATTGTTAATATGAGCCCTTGTGTGCCCGGTGTGTACAGACCTGCAGATGATTGTGCGGGCGCACCAGTGTGTCAAGGATGGCTATGAGTTCTTTGCCGGGCAGCAGCTGGTGACTGTCTTCTCCGCAACAGACTACTGCGGCAGGTGTGTGTGTGTGTGTGTGTGTGTGTGTGTGTGTGTGCATGTGCGCGCTCTTTGTCAGGTGCCTGAAACTTTTGATACCCGTGTGCTACCCCACCCACGTCCCCTCACGGTCGTTCATTTGTTTTCGTGCATTTTACCTCTCAGGTTCGGGAACGATGCTGCCATGCTCGTTATCAACCGTGAGCTCAGCGTCGCTGTGCACGTCATCAAGCCAGACGTTAGTGTGTGTGTGTGTGTGTGTGTGTGTGTGTGTGTGTGTGTGTGTGTGTGTGTGTGTGTGTGTGTTTCCGCGTGTACCTTTGTGTGCAGCCTTGCAGTCGTGCCCAGTGCAATGTTTCCCTGTCTGCGTGTCTGATACGCTGTTTGTGCGCTGTCTTCTCACACATCTCGTGTGAATGTGCGCGGCGTGTGCGGCTTACAGAGCTATCTTGGTCTGTCATCGTGGCAGCCACGCCAGCCCAGCAGTCCCCTGCCCCCATCACTTGGTGGCGGCGATGAAGATGAAACTCCACACACCGTCACAGGCGAATACCCTCCCTTCAGTCTCGACGACTGATCTGCCGTGTGTAGCTTGTTTGCTTGTTTGTTGGTGGTGATGCTGGTGCACGCTTGCGTGCACGTGTGTTGGATGAGCGCTTGCATGCTTGATGCGCTGTGGTGCGTGCATTTGTTTGTGTGAGGTGTGCGTTGTTGCATTCAGCTAGGTTCGGATCAGATAATGCCGTTGTAAACGGGTGCATTGGAATTGCCTGATGGTGTGCGTGTCTGTATTTTACATAATTGCACGTGATTTTGTTGTGGTTCCTTGCTGCGTACGGCCTTGCCTGTCTTTGGCGTGGTTGATTTGTTTGCACTGTTGGTTGAAAACACAAGTCAAGCGTGCTGGGAAGCTGATGGCAAGGCAGAGAAGATCCACACAAAAGAAACGGTGTACAGTACACTACGTCGCCAAGACAGCAGTCCAACGCTGCTGAATATTGAGCACAAACGCCCAAACACTTGCGCAAAGGGGGCGGGTTGAATTCGAGGGGAACAGTAAGAAAACTACACCACACACAAACATCCCGACGACGCGACAGCGACAGCGGCACCACTGTCTTGCCTTGCAGTCAAGCACTTTGACCCGCTCGCCCGCTGGGTTGTCAAAGCAAGCGAGCGCACTTCAATGTCGGGGGTTGTGCGCGTTTGAACGTGTGGCAATACATTCGCACACGTGCTTGCTCTACTTGCAGCAGATGTGACGGTGGCCGAGTAAACACTGTTGGTGAGCGGCGTTGT